ACTTTGACGACAATTTTTAGTACGAATTAGCTATTTTGACGACTTCTGGCTATTTTGACGACAGTCGTCAAAGTTTTTTCAGTCGATCGTATACTTTGACGACAGTCGTCAAAATAACTTTATCAATGTAATGATTATTTTGACGACAATGTGTAATTTAATGGTAAATTGGCGATTTTGACGGCAGTAAATAAAAACTGTTTCATAAAACACGGATGATATTAAAACTTTATTTTTCCCATTTTCTTGTAACTGCGATTTAATATATAATAACTTGAAGTAGATTTATAATGTAAAAAATAATTACATAATTATAATGTATAAAATATTGTAAAAATTGAATAATATAAAATTAAGAAAAATAATGTAACATGTGCAAATATAAAACATGCCATTTTAAATAAAATATGTGTTATAAAATAAATGTAAAATTTTTGGCATTTAATTAACAGATAAAATATATATAAATAAACTTAACAAGCTTTCTTTAACAAAGAAGAAAAAACAAAAGTATAAATTACTATGAAAGTAGAATATTCAGGATTTATAATTTAATATATTTTTTATAATTCAATGTATTTTTTATATCGGCAGGATATTCCTTAACATACATATTTAGTAAAGTTACATTATATTTGATCTACATTTAAATATTGAAATTCAATAATAATCAAATTTTCTTTACACATATACTTAACACATAAAGTTCATAAGTGATTTGACCTAATTTGTTTTCAAAGAATTCTTATTTAAATAAGACACAAACTGAAGCAGAGAATAATCTTTGACTATATCGCTGATATTTCGCAATATTTATTATAAGATTTATTATAAGATTATTATAGGATTTATTATAAGATTACAGAATATCAACAAATGCTTGTACGAAATAAAAAAAATTTATATATACACATTATATTATATACACAGAAATGTTATAAAAATAACACTAGTTTACAAAAAAAATTTTTTAAATTATTTTAAATCAAACAAGGCGTTTCTTATAGATTTTTGGATGTCGAAAACGATGCCGCAAACCAACCCTTAAGAAAAAAGATTACAGGCGCGATGAAAAAACTACATGCAACTATAGAATGACGATAGTTTTTTATATAGTTACGTATGATTTTTTCGTCACGTCAATAGTATTTTTTCGTAGGGAAATTTTATTAGCACGTCAGGTTTTCCTAATAACTGAGGTTTGATATATAAAAAATGGGTTTTTTCGCGATTTTTGATATTTTTTTTGTAAAAAAGATTAATATTATCTTGAAATTTTGATCAGAAATCATGAATGCATTGTTTATCCCCTATAAGATGCATTTTTTTTATTTCAATACTTCTTACTTTTTAACCATTCCTTTTAGAAACAATAAACTAGACGTAAAAAAGTTTTTTGCTTTTCTTAAAGGTAATCCGAAAAAAATAGAAATTTTCAGAAAAAACGGAAATTTTAAGTTTAATACGGACTCAAAGCTAAAAGATTGACAACTTATTGGGTGTTTACGATAATTTAAGTTTGAGTTAGTTTCACTAGGACCGAAAAATGAGATAGACATAACCATCTAGAACCTTTATGATTCATGACAACTCGACGCTGTCTTGTATTGCTTGAGTTAAATTTATTGAAATTTGTTGAGTTTATTGAGCAAATTTTATTGTAATAGAAAAATGTCAACTGCAAATCAGTCTATGAAAGAAACAAATAATGTTGGTATGTATGTTGGTATACTTCTTTAATAAATTAATAATAATATAATTAATAATAATAATAAATGACATTTTTCTATTACAATAAAATTTGCTCAATAAACTCAATAAATTCAATGAATTTAACTCAAGCAATACAAGACAGCGTCAAGTTGTCATGAATCATAAAGGTTCTAGATGGTTATGTTTATCTCATTTTTCGGCCCTAGTAAAACTAACTCGAACTTGAATTATTGTAAACACCCCCAGAGTCTGAGCTACTGTCACTGTAAAATTAACACCTAACTTTTAAATATAATCATAATAATAAATAATAAATTAATAGATCAATATCTCCATAAAAATATGATTCAATCTAAAAATTTTACCTAATCTAAAAATTTTATTGCATTTTAATTGTTCGAATATAAATTTGCGTTTGTTTTAAAATCTTCTCTTTACTTACATTATATTGAAGTTTTGCCTAGATTTCCTATTGGAAGATATGATCCGAGCAGTCATTCACGCAGGTGTGCGTTCGGTAAATTAGGTCACGTGACTAGCAGATGATAAACGCAGTGGATGCGCTAATCGCTGCATAAACGAATGCACCCAAAGTGTTGCTATTATTAAAAATTATTACAGTTATATTCTAAAATTTACACTGGCAATATTGAAAATTTATAATGTATTTAATGTGAACTATATGGATTTTCAGTACTGGCAGTGAATACTGAAATGCAATTTACACATATGCATATGACTGAACATTAGATATTTTGTGTATATAGATTAATTTTTACCTTTCAAGATATACGGATTGTAAATCGTTTTATTCTACAACCGTTATACACGCGTTGCTACTTGGAAACCAACTGACCATGATTGAACACAACTAACCCTCGAAACATTATACACGAGTAAATTCATTTGAATATGCAAATGTATCGCGTAAAAGTTCTTTGTTTGGAATGTTACTCAGCTTATTTAAAATTTTTGCTTTTTACAAATCTTGTTTTAGAGTGGTATTCATAGTCCGTTCTTATTCGCTCTCTTCGTTACACACAAATTGTGTCTGACAAAGAGAGCGAATATAAATCCTTATTTAAGCAATCTTGAATATAAAAACGGACTATGAATACCGACCTTTGTTTTCTTTAAAATGTAAAATTATACTACTGATATACGTGGATGTATGTACAGTTCAAAAATGTTTTTAAAATATTTCTATCAGCTAGTCTGGTGTTTTTTAATTCTGTGAATGAATAAACAATTTATTTTTGCAATTCATGCGGGAAATGTCGATAGATGTTACAGAGCCGCATTTATACTTTTGGAGGCCCTAGGCGCAACATCATTATGGCCGGTATTCATAGTCCGTTCTTATATTCAAGATCGTCTTAAGTACAAACTTATATTTGCTCTCTTCGTCAGACACAATCTATGTGTGACGAAGAGAGCAAATATAAGTCCGTGCTTAAGACGATTTTGAATATAAGAACGGACTATGGGCGGTATTCATAGTCCGTTCTTATATTCAAGATCGTCTTAAGCACGAACTTATATTCACTCTCTTCGTCAGACACAATCTATGTGTGACGAAGAGAGCGAATATAAGTCCGTGCTTAAGACGATTTTAAATATAAGAACGGACTATGAATACCGCCCATAGCTGAATTAGGTTGG